CATCTTACATGAGCGGAAAGGAGCTTCCACTCAGCTCCTCTGATGAATTTTGATATTAAAATGGTTGATCGCTGTTAAATTTTGAGGAAAGCTCCGCATATCAAAGAGCGGCTGAAGGCTGGAAAACTGATAATTGGGCTGCAAATATCTGTGAAAGTCAGAAGCTCACAGGACAGGCTGAAGCTGAAATGATCAAGTAAAGCTAGATTGAGGAACAGCTAGTAGTAGTCATTCACATTCAGCTGGGCTCCTCTTATGTTTAACCTCCCTAGCGGTCTGATGATGTCAGGATTTCTGTGCTCAAAGCGGTACATTTTTTTGCATGGAAATATGTAGTTTTTTATTGTAGGTCTGTAATTCTTAGGAATAACTCCCTGAAATCTGTCCGAACAAGAGTCTAGTAAACATCCCGGGGAGGATAAAATTTGAAACACGAAATCATAAATTATAATTTAATAAATATTCATAAAAAATAATAATATAATAATAATAAATGTAATTCAATAATATAATCACCAAAAACACTGAAATGTGAAATAGAGCGCCAAGTTGGCCCATCGCTGAGCTCAGTCGCAGAATCGTTTTCAGTGTCTGATGAGGAATTTCCCCCACCAATCATTATCACTCAATTCTGCAAGTGGTTCTGATTTACTATCGCTGTTCTCTAGCCGCTCTAAAACCGCGTCTGACCTAAAGGGGACGCTTTTTGGACGCCATGGACGTTTCTCAGTTTCCAGGCAGAATGGGCGGTAAAAATGCAGGCAGGGCGCCAGACAAAGCACTCGGGACAAAATGTATGTGAAATAGTTTGATACAGGAATGTTATACGATGTGATTTTAGTGCATTTAGTGAATGTTACTTTGGCCTAAAATGGAGCAGAATACAATTTGGACTAAATTTATGAATAAAGATGATTTATTTGCACAATTGTTTTACATAAACTAAGAAAAGGTGTGGGGGTTTTTTTTTTTTTTTCAAAACCTTTCAGTCTTTTTTTGTTTTTTTAGCAACAAATAAATATCCCAGTGCCATAGGGCATCGCCTAGAAAGAAGAGAGAAAGGACTCTATGCAGCCGGAGGTGTTTTATATTGCTGATGATACAGCTATCCATCAGAGCAGCATTAGAATGCTGGTGGCGTGTTTTTCAATTATTATGTGAATGCATTGTTTTTCTTTTCTCTTTTCTTTCTTCACTTTTTTAGTTTTATTTTTTTATGTTTTTATTTACATTTTTTCTTTTCTTTTTTTACTTTTTTTCTTTCCTTTCTTTACTTTTTTTCTTTTCTTTTTTCTTTTCTATTACTTTTTTCTTTTTTATTACTTTTTTTTTTCTTTTTACTTTTTTATTTTCTCTCTTTTATTTTTTTTCTTTTCCTTTTCTCTTTTCTTTTCTCCACAAACAAGCACTATGTCAGTTTTTATATAATAAGAATGGGATGGCCAATTATAAATATCCTAAAAGTATATTAGTTTTGGTGAAATGGGTTGCAAGCAACAAAAAGCTTACTGCGGACCATTAGAAAGGTATCTACGTGCCTCTCTTCCATCAACAATCCTAAAATTTTTGTTTCTTTTCTTTCTTCACTTTTTTCTTTTCTTTTTTTAGTTTTTTTCTTTTTTCTTTACATTATTTCTTTTCTTTTTTTACTTTTTTTCTTTCCTTTTTTTTACTTTTTTTTACTTTTTTTTTTTTTAGTTTTTTCTTTACATTTTTTTCTTTTCTTTTTTTACTTTTTTTCTTTCCTTTCTTTACTTTTTTTCTTTTCTTTTTTCTTTTCTATTACTTTTTTTTTCTTTTCTTTTACTTTTTTATTTTTCTCTCTTTTATTTTTTTCTTTTCCTTTTCTCTTTTTCTTTTCTCCACAAACAAGCACTATGTCAGTTTTTATATAATAAGAATGGGATGGCCAATTATAAATATCCTAAAAGTATATTAGTTTTGGTGAAATGGGTTGCAAGCAACAAAAAGCTTACTGCGGATCATTAGAAAGGTATCTACGTGCCTCTCTTCCATCAACAATCCTAAAATTTTTGTTTTCTTTCTCTCTCCTTTTTTTCTTTTCTTTTTTTAGTTTTTTCTTTTTTTTCTTTACATTTTTTCTTTTCTTTTTTTACTTTTTTTCTTTCCTTTCTTTACTTTTTTACTTTTCTTTTTTTTTTTTCTTTACTTTTTTCTTTACATTTTTTTCTTTTCTTTTTTTACTTTTTTTCTTTCCTTTCTTTACTTTTTTTCTTTTCTTTTTTCTTTTCTATTACTTTTTTTTTCTTTTACTTTTTTTTTTCTCTTTTCTGTCTCTTTTATTTTTTTCTTTTCCTTTTCTCTTTTTCTTTTCTCCACAAACAAGCACTATGTCAGTTTTTATATAATAAGAATGGGATGGCCAATTATAAATATCCTAAAAGTATATTAGTTTTGGTGAAATGGGTTGCAAGCAACAAAAAGCTTACTGCGGACCATTAGAAAGGTATCTACGTGCCTCTCTTCCATCAACAATCCTAAAATTTTTCTTTTCTTTCTTCACTTTTTTTCTTTTCTTTTTTTAGTTTTTTCTTTTTTTCTTTACATTTTTTTTCTTTTCTTTTTTTACTTTTTTTCTATCCTTTCTTTACTTTTTTACTTTTCTTTTTTTAAGTTTTTTCTTTACATTTTTTCTTTTCTTTTTTTACTTTTTTTCTTTCCTTTCTTTACTTTTTTTCTTTTCTATTACTTTTTTCTTTTCTTTTACTTTTTTCTTTTCTCTTTTCTGTCTCTTTTATTTTTTTTTTCTTTTCCTTTTCTCTTTTTCTTTTCTCCTCAAACGAGCACTATGTCAGTTTTTTATATAATAAGAATGGGATGGCCAATTATAAATATCCTAAAAGTATATTAGTTTTGGTAAAATGGGTTGCAAGCAACAAAAAGCTTACTGTGGACCATTAGAAAGGTATCTACGTGCCTCTCTTCCATCAACAATCCTAAAATTTTTGTTTTCTTTCTTTACTTTTTTTTTTTCTTTTTTTAGTTTTTTTTCTTTTTTCTTTACATTTTTTCTTTTCTTTTTTTAGTTTTTCTTTCCTTTCTTTACTTTTTTTTCTTTTTCTATTACTATTACCCAGCACCAGAAAACCAGTGCGGATGTCTGCTCATGCTCATGTGCGTGCACATGACAGCGATGCTCGTTTTTCAGAGCGAAGGGGCAATGATGTACTGTGCCGTTTCGTCTCGTGCATGTCCATGTCCATAGGCTCAATGACCTATTTAGACTGATCTGTCGCTATGAGCAGTCGATGAATGGCCTTCAGCAATGTCCTCAGACCTGACCCACTGTACATGCTTACCTGTGCATGACCCGGCTTGTCGTTCTGCTCCTGCCTCCACTCTGACCCTGGCCCGTTTATTGGACTTGTCCTTAACTTCTGATTCTGTACCACTTTTCCTGGATGTTACTGACCTTGGCCTGCCTTCTGGACTAGCTTTGCCTTCTGATTCAGTCCCTCACTGTTGACTTCTGCCCGTCTCCTGGTTCAGCTTTCATCTCCTGCTCCGGTGCCAAGCTGCATCGTGTTCTGAGGACAGCGACTACCAGCTTTACCTACCTATGGAGTGGACATCACCAGCCAGCTACTACAGCACTCATGCCACTCCTTGCCCTCACACTCTCTGCCTCCACCTTCTGAAGTGTTGGGCAGAAGCCCCCTCCAACCCCTCTATACTCAACTTGCCTGTACTCCCTTGACACTGTTCCCTCCATTGGAGCTAGAGCTAGTGTCTCCAGCTAGAGACATAACATGATGCTATTTCGGAGAATGTGGCCTGAGAAATCAACTGCTAGGCCTGAACACATGACCAAAGAAGTGACGCCTTGTTCCTCTGCAGACAACCAGTGATTTCACCCCAATGGAGGAAGGAATGACAAGGAAATGCAAGCAAGGTGAGTATAAGGGTGTCAGGAAGGACCTTTGCAGAGACACTATCTCCCTATCTCTCTTTGCCATGCCATGCATGGGCAACCACCTCTTCAATGAAAATAAGAATTATGGGTAAAGTCAACCATGCAGAGCAAAGTGCAGTGTCTCTACAAATTGCTGTCTTTGACCCCCCTTATCATCCCTCAACGCAGCCAGAGACACTACCCAATGCTTCTCCAGGTACAGGGGAGCTTGTGTCTTGAGCAGAGCTGTGGATATGGCAGTACCACCAGTCCTCCAGGCCTGCAGGGGAGCCCAGGCAGCTGGGTGAATCTAATGTGAGCAGGAAGGGTGAATGGGGCAATTACTGGAACCAATCCCCTCCATGGCTCTCCCTGCAGCAGCTGAAAGCTGAGTTTTTCTCCTCCCACCTGACTGTCTTTCAGCTGCTGCAGAGAGAAACATACAGGGGATCAGTTCCAGTAATTTACCAGCCCCTTTCATTCCTGAATGAACACAATTAGTGATTGGTACTGATTACTCACTGTGTTCATTTATAACTGAAGCATAGTAAAACTGTGGGGTTTTTTTTGTGGGGATGGGGGGCCTTGTTAGCTTGGCTGTATGAAGCCCTGTGGTTTGAGGGTTTGGCCCTGTCAGGTTAGCTGTATGGGGCCTTGTGGTTTTGGGGAGCCCTGTCAGGTTAGCTGTAGGGGGCCCTGTAGTTTCTAACAGCAGCCCTGGTCTTGAGCAACCAACTGACAGGTCTATGCACTGTCACTTGACCAAAGTAGTGATGTCATCACCTGTGATGGAGGAAGGTGCGATGAGAGGGCGTAGGCAAGGTTATTAAAGGAGGGTCAGGGAGGGTCCCTTTGCAGAGACACTTTCCCTTTGCCATGCATGGGCTGGTGCCTCTTTAATGTAAACAGGATTATGGGTAATGACACCCATATGGGGCAAAGTTGCAGGGTCTCTATAAATGTCTGTCTTCGACTCTCGTATACTCAACTTGCCTCTTCTTCCTCAGCGCTCCTTCCTTTGTTACAACCAGCAACCCTGCCCAGTGCTTCTAGGTATGGCGAAGCATGTGACCTGAAAAAACAATTGCTAGGTCTGAGCACTGTCACATGACCAAGATAATGTAGATTGGTAGCCAGATTTAGCCTCCGAATCCATAAAGAGTGCGTTCCTGTTTGAGAGCATAGCCGACATCCATGGCGGTGATGGCCTTCCTCTTGACCTGCTAGGTGTAGGTGTTAGCATCGTGGATGATGCTCTCCAGGAAAACTTTGAGCACTCCACGGGTCTCCTTGTAAATGAGTCAAAAATTGCACTTGATATCTCCTTTGAGGGCCAAACAATGGATGGCAGGTTTGGTAATGCCCTGGATATTGTCCCAGAACACCTTCATGTGATGCTTTCCTGAAACCCTTTCCCCCTTTGCCGTGGCCAGACATGATGACTCTTCTCTGTTGTCATCTCTCCCCTGGTCTACCAAGTTCAGCACCACCTGTGATGGAGGAAGGAATGATGAATGAGTTCAGTATAGAAGGTTCAGGAAGGGGTCCTTCACAGAAACACGGTCACGTTGTCACGCATGGACAAGGTAACAGTGCCTCTTCAATGTAAATTGGAATTATGGGTGATGACACCTGGCTTCATTCGAATACAACTTAAGCAACCATCCATCAATGACATTAATGGGCTGAGGAAAAGGTTCAAAATTTGTCTAGAGTTCTGCTTCAGAATTCACAAGCAAACGTCAGGCAAGTCAGCCAGCCACTGTGAAATTAGGAAAAATAATGATATTTCTGAGCATTTCGATTTCAAGCTTTAAATTGCAATGAGTTGACTGAACACAAAGCCAAAAGCCCACTTGAAATAACCCGGTTAGTGTGTAGTATATCCCGACGAAATGGAAAAAATAATTGCATTTTCACACTACAATGATCCGCCAGCTAATTTGCAGCCAATCCCAGATGAAGACAGGAGAGGCAGGAGAGAAGAAGGTAAAAAAAACGAGACTCCACCCTGAATGAACAAATGTTCCCTCCTAATTAATAGGTATGAGTAGGGCTGCTGTTAGAAACCACAGGGCCTCATATAGTTACCCTTACAGCCCCCATCTCCAAAACACAGTTTACTATGCTTCTGTTATGAATGAACACAATGAGTGATTGGTACCAATCACTCATTGTGTTCATTCAGGAAAGGGGCTGGTAAATATATCATATTTACTGGAGCCTTCCCCCACTCTCCATCCTGAAGGATCCTATTGTGTGCTTCCAGCTGCCGGTGGGAAGGAGAGGAGGGAAGTCACTGTGGGGGTGGGGCACACGGGGGCCTGGTCAGCAGGGGGAACACATGGTGCACAGGGAGGGTGAGGGGTGCAGCGGGGGGTTGCAGTTACTGGAACCAATCCCCTGTATGGCTATCTCTGCAGCAGCTGAAAGCCAGTGGGAGAGAGAGGAGAATAAGCCTCCCAAAAAGCACAGTTTACTATGCTTCCGTTATGAATGAACACTGTGAGTGATTGGTACTGATCACTCAGTGTGTTCATTCAGGAAAGGAAGGGGCTGGTAAATGTAACATATTTACCTGACTCTCCCCCCACTCTCCATCCTGCAGGATCCTATTGTGTGCTTGCAGCTGCCGGAAAGAAAGAGAGGAGGGAAACCACTGTGGGGGTGGGGGCACACAGGGGGGGGCCTGTCCAGCAGGGGGAACACATGGTGCACAGTAAGGGTGAGGGGTGCAGTGGGGGGACAGTTACTGGAACTGATCCCCTGTATGGCTCTCTTTGCAGCAGATGAAAGCCAGTCAGTGGGAGAGGAGAAAAAGCCCACCAAAAAACACAGTTTACTATGCTTCAGTTATGAATGAACACTGTGAGTGATTGGTACCGACCACTCATTGTGTTCATTCAGGAAAGGAAGGGTCTGGTAAATGTGACATATTTACTGGATCCTCCCCCTAAAGCTGAAAGCCAGCGGGAGGGAGAGGAGGAGAGGTCAACTTTCAGCCATACAGGGGATCGGTTCCAGTAATTGCCCCCCTGCCTGTGCCATTCACCCTCCCTGCCTACATCTGATTCACTTAGCAGCCTGGGCCCCCTTGCTGTCTTGGGCCCCATACAGGAGGACTGCTGGTCCCCCCTTATCCGTGGTCCTGGGTATGAGTCGTACATACCTGGGTTCAGCATGAGGTGGGTTCCGTTGCCGAATCTGACTCCCATGTCAATGGGGGCTGAATTTTGAATTGTGATGGCCATTTTCTAGGCTAATAGGCAAGAGATCATAAAACAAACGGCAGGGGGGATGGGCACTACCCTGAGGAATATATACCAAAGCAAAATATTAATAAAAATATATCTGTTTAATGCTCAGCATTAAAGGTCAACATTAAAAATGAAATATTCCTTTAACCACTTCCAGTCTGGACACTTTCCCCCCTTCCAGTCCGGACACTTTCCCCCCTTCCAGTCTGGACACTTTCCCCCCTTCCAGTCCGGACACTTTCCCCCCCTTCCAGTCCGGACACTTTCACCCCCTTCCAGTCCGGACACTTTCCCCCCCTTCCAGTCCGGACACTTTCACCCCCTTCCAGTCCGGACACTTCCCCCCCCCCTTCCAGTCCGGACACTTTCCCCCCCTTTCAGTCCGGACACTTTCACCCCCTTCCAGTCCGGACACTTTCCCCCCCCCTTCCAGTCCGGACACTTTCCCCCCTTCCAGTCCGGACACTTTCCCCCCCTTCCAGTCCGGACACTTTCACCCCCTTCCAGTCCGGACACTTTCCCCCCTTCCAGTCCGGACACTTTCACCCCCTTCCAATCCGGACACTTCCCCCCCCTTCCAGTCCGGACACTTTCCCCCCCTTCCAGTCCGGACACTTTCCCCCCCTTCCCGGACACTTTCCCCCCCTTCCAGTCCGGACACTTTCCCCCCTTCCAGTCCGGACACTTTCCCCCCTTCCAGTCCGGACACTTTCCCCCCCCCTCCAGTCCGGACACTTTCCCCCACTTTCACCCCCCCCCTCCAATCCGGACACTTCCCCCCCCTTCCAGTCCGGACACTTTCACCCCCTTCCAGTCCGGACACTTTCACCCCCTTCCAGTCCGGACACTTTCCCCCCCCTTCCAGTCCGGACACTTTCCCCCCTTCCAGTCCGGACACTTTCCCCCCCCTTCCAGTCCCACCCCCCCCTTCCAGTCCGGACACTTTCACCCCCTTCCAGTCCGGACACTTTCACCCCCTTCCAGTCCGGACACTTTCACCCCCTTCCAGTCCGGACACTTTCCCCCCCTTCCAGTCCGGACACTTTCACCCCCTTCCAGTCCGGACACTTTTCACCCCCCCTTCCAGTCCGGACACTTCCCCCCCCCCCCTTCCTGTCTGGACACTTTCCCCCCCTTCCAGTCCGGACACTTTCACCCCCCTTCCAGTCCGGACACTTTCCCCCCCTTCCAGTCCGGACACTTTCACCCCCCCTTCCAGTCCGGACACTTTCCCCCCTTCCAGTCCGGACACTTTCCCCCCCTTCCAGTCCGGACACTTTCACCCCCTTCCAGTCCGGACACTTTCCCCCCTTCCAGTCCGGACACTTTCACCCCCTTCCAGTCCGGACACTTTCCCCCCCTTCCAGTCCGGACACTTTCCCCCCCTTCCAGTCCGGACACTTTCCCCCCCTTCCAGTCCGGACACTTTTCACCCCCTTCCTGTCCAGTGGACACTTTCACCCCCTTCCAGTCCGGACACTTTCACCCCCTTCCAGTCCGGACACTTTCACCCCCCTTCCAGTCCGGACACTTTCCCCCCTTCCAGTCCGGACACTTTCAAACCCCCCCCATTCCAGTCCGGACACTTTCACCCCCTTTCAGTCCGGACACTTTCACCCCCCTTCCAGTCCGGACACTTTCACCCCCTTCCAGTCCGGACACTTTCACCCCCTTCCAGTCCGGACACTTTCACCCCCTTCCAGTCCGGACACTTTCACCCCCCTTCCCCACTTTCCAGTCCAGTCCGGACACTTTCCCCCCCCCCTTCCAGTCCGGACACTTTCACCCCCCTTCCAGTCCGGACACTTTCCCCCCCCCCTTCCAGTCCGGACACTTTCACCCCCCTTCCAGTCCGGACACTTTCACCCCCCTTCCAGTCCGGACACTTTCCCCCCCCCTTCCAGTCCGGACACTTTCCCCCCCTTCCAGTCCGGACACTTTCCCCCCCCCCTCCAGTCCGGACACTTTCCCCCCCTTCCAGTCCGGACACTTTCACCCCCTTCCAGTCCGGACACTTTCACCCCCCCTTCCAGTCCGGACACTTTCACCCCCTTCCAGTCCGGACACTTTCACCCCCTTCCCAGTCCGGACACTTTCACCCCCCTTCCAGTCCGGACACTTTCCCCCCTTCCAGTCCGGACACTTTCCCCCCCCCTTCCAGTCCGGACACTTTCCCCCCCTTCCAGTCCGGACACTTTCCCCCCCTTCCAGTCCGGACACTTTCCCCCCCTTCCAGTCCGGACACTTTCACCCCCCCTCCAGTCCGGACACTTTCCCCCCTTCCAGTCCGGACACTTTCACCCCCTTCCAGTCCGGACACTTTCCCCCCCCTTCCAGTCCGGACACTTTCACCCCCCTTCCAGTCCGGACACTTTCACCCCCCCTTCCAGTCCGGACACTTTCACCCCTTCCAGTCCGGACACTTTCACCCCCATTCCAGTCCGGACACTTTCACCCCCTTCCAGTCCGGACACTTTCACCCCCCCCCTTCCAGTCCGGACACTTTCCCCCCCTTCCAGTCCGGACACTTTCCCCCCCCCTCCAGTCCGACACTTTCACCCCCCTTCCAGTCCGGACACTTTCCCCCCCTTCCAGTCCGGACACTTTCCCCCCTTCCAGTCCGGACACTTTCCCCCCCCTTCCAGTCCGGACACTTTCCCCCCCTTCCAGTCCGGACACTTTCACCCCCCTTCCAGTCCGGACACTTTCCCCCCCCCTTCCAGTCCGGACACTTTCCCCCCCCTTCCAGTCCGGACACTTTCCCCCCCCCTTCCAGTCCGGACACTTTCCCCCCTTCCAGTCCGGACACTTTCCCCCCCCCTTCCAGTCCGGACACTTTCCCCCCTTCCAGTCCGGACACTCCCCCCTTCCAGTCCGGACACTTTCCCCCCCTTCCAGTCCGGACACTTTCCCCCCCCCCCTTCCAGTCCGGACACTTTCACCCCCCCTTCCAGTCCGGACACTTTCCCCCCTTCCAGTCCGGACACTTTCCCCCCCCCTTCCAGTCCGGACACTTTCCCCCCCCCTTCCAGTCCGGACACTTTCACCCCCCCCCCCAGTCCGGACACTTTCCCCCCCCCTTCCAGTCCGGACACTTTCACCCCCTCCAGTCCGGACACTTTCACCCCCCCTTT